AAGTGAGTTACACATACAATTTCTGCTTATGTTCACACTGAAAACACATCTTAATGCAACTGATTGGTTTAGGAACCTAGACAGTGTTTCTTGTGAAATGAGACCAAAGTGATGGGTTTAATTCTCATAGAAGAGTTCATTTTGCTCTCATTTGGGGCCAGACACTCTATCCTGATTGATTGTATTGGGAATTATACTGATTTATTCATAAATCAGATAATATTACTTGTAATAGTATTTATTCTGACACATAATTTTTGTGTTTCATCAAAATTTATTTAAAATTTAGAATAATATGCTATGGTTCAGATTCTTTACTTTTTCTTTTTGAATAGTTAGATATGTGAGACAAATATATTTTTGCTAGAAATATGTGAATAATTCACTGATACATACATACACATATATAATGATACATATAAATAAATTTACCTCATAAATAATGTCCAACTTTCCATTAATTGAAACATTCAGGCAAGTCGATCTTTGCATTAGGCACAAAGTGCTTTGCTTAAAGAAAAAAAAAAGGAGTGGAAGCAGGTGAATTGGCAAAGCATTTGGAAGTTAGGAATTTTATTACCTTTTTCAACCCATCTTGGCTATACCCTTCCTGATTGCCAAGCCATTTTATTTCATTGTCTCCAGCGAAGAACCATGTAGCCAGCAGAGTCAACGATTGGCATATTGTGTGTTGTGATTTTTATTATTAGTTTGTACTTTGTAGTGCTATTTAGGGTCAAACAACTGCCGCTTAAACCACACTATAAAACTACCTCTGTAAAACAAAAAGTGTTTGAGATAGGTTTTAATCAATTAGAGGCTTGTTGTGCCGAGGTGGAGGATGTGCCTGGGAAAAGGAGACCCAAATCACAGTAGGATCTATGGCCTGTGTTTCTTTCCAAAGAGTATTTTGAGGACTTCATTATTTATGGAGGGATGAATGGTCAGGAGGGAAATGGGGAAAAGAGGAAAAAAGGGGAGGACAGGTAGTGAGATAAGGGTTCACATTCTTGTGAGGCTTCATTAGTGGCTCACTGAATCTACATATTACCTGTGAAGGGAGGGTCTAGAAGAACAGTCAATTATGCATTCATCTCCTGCTACTTGGTAAATCTGCATTTGTCTCGGCTGGTAGAGGGATGATTTCTAATCTTGTCTTTGTCCTGGACCTGTGAAGATAAACTGTTAATTTACATTGTCAGGATGAGGGAGGCCACGTGGGGAGATATGTGGCTTTCTATCTTGCAGCTATCTATTTGGGAACAAAAGAAAAGGTAGTTTTTTTGTGTGTGACTTGGTTTCCCAGCTTAACTTTTCCCGTTGGCTTAGTGAGTTTGGTGTCATGACATGAGATTTTCCTTTCACTCCTTCATGGTCACTTCCACATTTGTAGGATGGGGCTAGTGGTTAATATGGTAGCCCTGTACCTAGAGGGTGTGCTGAGTAATTAAGAGATACTGTGAGTTATCAGCAATCCTATTCAATGTTATTCCCATTTTACAAATAAGGAAATTGTGGCTCAGAGAAGATAAATAGTTTACTTAAATAGTATGTATCAAGGTCTAATCAGTGAACATTTATCTATTTCTGTTCTGGGACACACACAAACACACACACAAGCACCACATTTTTGAAATTCTGGGAATATGAAGATGAATGAGGCACAGTCTGGCTCAGAGTTCAGTACAACAAAACAGAAATCTCTTTAGATAGTTCAAGAACAAATGGCTTTAATACAGGGAGTTAGTGTTTAAGGCCTCATTGGAAGAGCTTGAGCAGTGGAGGTTAAAGGAGGACTGCTGCTGAATCCTTGGTTTTGAGGCCACATCCTTGTGGAAGTGATTCAGAGTCAAGAAACTAGTGTCCACTTTTGCTGCTGCTGTCCAAGAAGCCTCTCACCTCCTAAGTGACACCTAGAAAGAGGAAGGTGGGGTCTAGACATTGCTGCAATCTCTCAGCCAATAAGGTGCTTAGCAGCTGCCATTGAAACAACAAGGTGACTGTTGCTTCCTCTTGGTCCCTTAAAACTTTCTCAGGTACATCTCACTGGCAGAACTCTCCCATTCAGAATCATATGTTTAACATTTCATTCCCTACCTTATAGGGTGGGGCATGATGTGAGTGGAAATGGATTACAGGCCAGGCACCAACAGACTGTACAGAACATGTAACCTCTGCACTCAAGGAGCTCATGGTTTCATAGTGGAGGCAGACAAAGAGAGTTTCAGGGTCATATGGCAAGTACAGTGATGGACCCAGGCTTTTGCTAGTGATGGCAGAGAGTGGGCTTTTATGGGTCAGAAATGAGAGAAGGGATCAAAGAAAGCTTCCTAGAAATGATGTTTTTTGAGCTAAGACTTAAGGGATTAATTAGTAAAACCAGATTATACTCAAAGGGAGGGAAGGCCACAGTAGGCGTGTGGGAGAGAATAAAGTTAACAAGCCATAAAGCAGCATCATGACCACAGAACTGAAGGGGATACAGAAGAATGACACGCAGTTGGGCATGATTAGAAGCAGGGAAGATCACAGTGAGGGAAAGAAAGAAATCAAGGACCATGTTCTTGTTTTGGACTTCGATGAGTGAGAGGTGACATTAAGTCAGAATTTTCAGCTAAATCGACTTGATCGAAAAGTCCAGGATTTCCCTGTTCTTTCACTCTGCCTCAACTGTGATTGGGTATTGATCAAGGACCTCTAAAGATGTGTCCGAGAAAGTCCATGACATTGTGTGCATGTTATGTGTACATGTTTGCATATTTTCTTTTTTTCAGGAGAGAAGAAGAAATATGACCTTCTTATGATTTTCAAAGTTTAAGAATCAATTGAGTCATTGAGTGTGGTAGCTTACACTTGTAATCCCAGTACTTTGGGTGGCCAAGGTGAGCGGATCACATGAGATCAGGTGTATAACACCACCCTGACCAACATGGTAAAACCCTGTCTCTACTAAAAATTCAAAATTAGCTGGGTGTGGTGGCGAAGGCTGTAATCCCAGCTACTCAGGAGGCTGAGGCAGGAGAATCGCTTCAACCTGGGAAGTGAAAATGGCAGTGAGCTGAGATCGTGCCATTGCACTTCAGCCTGGGCAACAGAAATGAAACTGTCTCAAAAAAAAAAAAAATCACTTGAGCCAAGACTTTTGGCTTAATAGCTGGTGTTCATTTAGTTGTGTTCTAGAGATTGCTTCAGATAGCACAGCAGGTTAACAATTTTTAAAGATCTTTTTGTCATAAAGTATCAAGATGTTGGTTTCATCACAACAAAAATATTTCCAGGTGCATTGCTGAACTCTCAGGAATGTGAGACAAATCCTTCTAAGTTAAGCACACACAGAAATCTACAGGAGAAAAACAGGAGAGGAGGTGAACCTTGGGAGGCTCTGGAGGCAATTGTTAACTACAGGAACCCAGAATTTTGGAGAATAGTGGTTTCCTGACAAAGACTAGGGTTGCATATATCAGGGGCAAGTAGGAGACTGGATGTGAGACCCTGCATTCTTATAGATGCTACACTCTTAGGGAAAGATTAAACTAGGAAAACCCCTGCAGGCCAGGAAACCTGTAAGGAAACCTCTCTGTCACTCCCATGTCCAGGTGAAATCATAATTAATAATAATAAGGTTGTCTTAGTCTCTTTATTATTTAGGTATATACTATCTTCTTTTTATTTATACAAACAACTTTAAAACATATTATGCCTATGTTTCTCTCAGATTCATTTTATTGTTAAAATAACCTTTTGAACAAAAACCACGTATTTACAAAAGAAGTAAGACACTAGCATAAAAAGTAAAAGTTTTATCTTAAGCTACGTTATTTTTTGAACTACTATTGCTTTATAGGGTATGGTTCTCAGAAATAGAAGTTTCTTTGCAAAATAAAATTTGGTAGCTATGCAAATTAATATGCAAATACTAGATTAATTCATTAATGCTCATAAATATCCAAAATAAAAACAAAATATTTTAATGGGATTATGCCATGCATGTTTTTGACCAGAGATTCTTATTGAAAAGAACATTTAAATTTTAAAAATATAATTATTACAGTTCCTTTATTTTTATTTTCTTTCTGCTTATACTCTAAATTCAGAAGAATGCCAAGTATTATGATGTCACTTCAGAGACACTTCTAGTAGGTTAGTTTTGTTTTTAAAGACCTTTGTAGTCAGTTCAATGTGTAATTTTGAAATAGTAGCAAGAATCAGATCTATTTATGTAGAATCATTAACATACTAAAATGTAGGGCCAAATATTGCCATTCATTTGGCTTAAGGGTTCCCTACATATTTTGGAATGGGCTAGGGCTACACTTATTTAATTACATATAGGAAAAGGAGGAGGCTGGCTTTATATTTTCCTCCTGTGAAGTGAGATCAGAGAGCTTTGATTTTCATTTAACCCTGCAAAATGCATCCTTATGCTTCTTATAGTACAATTCCATGTTTTTATTTTGCTTAAGCATGTTATCTTTTTGTAGTTAAAATAAGAAAAGAGAATGTTTGTAACAAAGTTGATAAAATAAAGTGAGTTTTGTGTCTGACATTGCTCACACTATAGATGACTATCTAGGGATTAATAATAATTAATCCACATGTAGGAAAATATTAATATTTTTTATTAAATAAAATATTTTTATTTAAATAGATTTAAATGTAAATGTAAATAATTTAAATGAAATTCATTATTTGACAAATCTCTTGACTTTTGTTTTTGTGTCTTGTCCTGTAATGACTATTAGCAGTTCACATGCTTAAAATATGAACCTCCTAAAAATGCTGAATTTCTTATCAATAACCTATTCTTGGGAAGGATTTGCTTTATTATACATTATCTCAGTTACTGTATTAAAAGTACAGTGTTTAACATGGTTAGGTTCTTTCTTCTTTGCTCTCCTTAACTCTACAAATAATCTCATCTAAGTATGTGAATAACCTTTCCTAAGCCTTCTCGGTATATTAAAGCATGTTTTAATTTTTTTCCCTCCATGTTTCTCTAGGATAGTTTCCCAGCACGATTTGGAGGAATTCATTTTGTTAATCAACCATGGTATATCCATGCCCTGTACACCGTGATCCGGCCTTTCCTGAAGGAGAAAACTCGGAAAAGGGTATTTGTTTCCTTGTTTTTTTAATCCTTTCTCATCCCTCATTCAACAAATTATGATGCATAGTGTGTATATAATATTAGCTATAATCAAATATACTTCTACATTGTATATAAATCAACATAGAAGACATTTAAAAAAATCTTCCAGATCTTGTGGTTATGAACAGTATATCTGTGAATGAAGCATTTAAAAGCTAGCTCTCCTCGTTGCTCACAAAAGAGGAAGATATTTTAGCACATTCATTATATGTTAAAGCCTCAATTTAAAAGCCCCCCAAAATTTTTTATGCTGTGTTACTATAATGTTATTGATGAACTTACTTTGAAGTAAAGTCTAAATAAAAGTTATAATTTTATATGCTGATAAGTGGGTGTTATTTCACAGTATGTACCACAATGAATGTAGTGACACCTGTGGTATCTAATGTAATTTTTTGCAATGATTATCATGATCGATCACACATTTTGAAAAGAAGCTAATGTGTGGAAATTTTCATACTTCTTTAAATTACATTTTACTTCAGTCTCTTCAATTTCACTTTCATTTAACAATGAGGATAGTCAAAGTGCATAAAACAAAATAATTTTTCTGAGATTGAGATAATTTATATAAAACACTTAATACAATGTAGGGCACAGGCACAGATAAATACTGAACACATATTTTTATTAAAATACATCTTGATGTACATTTCACTAATTTTTGCAACAGCTCTGAAAAGTAAATTCAGTAAGCATTACCTCCTGTTCAAGAGCTGAAGAAACTAAGTCTTGGAATGGGTAAGTAACCTGCTTACTCACATACAGAGAAGAAACTAAGTCTTGGAATGGATAAGTAACCTGCTTACTCACATACAGAGAAGAAACTAAGTCTTGGAATGGATAAGTAACCTGCTTACTCACATACAGAGAAGAAAAGTTGCAGCACTAATATACAAACCCGAATATTTCAGCCTCATGTATAGAGCTAATTTTACCTCCTGGTGCTGTTCCCAGTTTTCAAATGATTAGTTCCACAGCAAAATACACTTTCCTCTAAATCTATATGGAAGAGTAGCTTCCATTTTTCTCAGTGACCTAGAAGGCACTTCAGGTAGAAGCTTCCTTGTAGTGTGAAAGTGCAATAATTATATGTCCATATCAAGCATTAATAAACAAAGGATTTACTGTAAATGAATCTGTACTTGTGAAAGTGAAATAATTACATGTCTATATCAAGCATTAGTGAACAGAGGATTTACTGTAAATGACTTTGTTGAAAATGTTTTAGTAGTTTAGGAGAAAGAATTCTGTAAACAATTATAATATGGAGTAAAAATTGTTTCTACCACCAAATATCAAGCTAATTCCTATTTTAGAATTCAGAAAATGTTTTGATGTGCCTCACAAGTGCTATTTCAAGCTTTGCTTTATGAAAGGATGATCAAAACGTTCAGGGGCTTTTAGTACAAATTATACTGGTGAGTGCTTATGCAGAATTCACTCAATGCCACATGCTGTTCTCAGTGCTTTGCATATGTTAACTCATTTGGTACTTACACCACCACTTTGGAGTATATTTTGTTATGTTTTGCATTTTATGGATGGAAAAATGAGGCTTTGAAGGTTAACCAATTTGCTGTGAATCACAGCTAGCAGACAGTAGAGTAGAGCTAGTTTTGTGAATATGAGAGAGTTTCAGACAGAAGGAATAGCAAAGACAAATGTCCTTAGGTAGAAACATGCCTAGTGTATTTGACAAACAGCAAGAAGGTAGAAAAGTTGGAGCAGAATGAGCTATGGGGGATGATGGCAGAGATGGGGTAGGTGGTAGAGGATGGGATAGGAGGGACTGTGTTGTACCGGATCACATACAGACTCATACACCATTGCTGGGATCCGAGCTTTCAGTCAGAGTAAACTTTTGAAGCCCTTGAAGGTCACTGAATACAGGGGTTACTTGTCCTGAAATGATTTTTAACATGCTTCTGCTCTGTTGAAAACTACTGAAGAGGATCAAGTCTAGAAAACAAGGAGTGCACTGCGTTTTGGGGTTTTGTAATTGAATTTGACAGTTTTGACAACCTAAAGCTATGCATTGCTAGCATTATTCCAGAGGGAAGTAACATATCTGAACTGTACCATTTTAATTAAAATTATATGACTTAGAAATTTTCATATAAGAAAATAATTGTATGTTTAAATACTTTACATTTCTACTTATATAATCAATACACAGTACAAAGCTATTAAATTTCTTCACTGATACTCCAAGTGACTCAGCATCTCAATATTACTCACATACCTTATTCTTCAGATGCTGTAAGTCTGTGTTCTGAAAAACTGGTAAAAGAAAAAACTGAAGAAGCAGTTATGAATCTTTTCCTACAAATTCAGGTGTGCAAAACTCATCTGCTGCTTCATTTTATTAAATTAACTTAAATTTGACTTTGAGTCTCCAACTCACTGGGCTGCTGGGAATATCAGCCTTAGCAGAGGCGTCCTTTATCCTCAAAATCTCACCAGTATCTGGAGTCTTTCATGCAGAGCCAAACTTCCCATCTGTCATGGCCACTTTTGATGTCCTCACTGTTCCAACCAATATTAGTTCCTTCAACTATGGTCTCCTTCTGCTCCCAAGTTGTCTGTGATAAAAAGATATCTTTGCTAAAGTTAAAACCCATTGAAACCCACTACCCTAGTGCATTCTTCAGTAAGTCAGTGGTTGTGGTCCTGCTACTTAAATGTTGATGAAAAACAGGTTTTCCTACTAATTGCCACAAATTTCTCCCTCTTAGTCAACATGGCCAATTTTGTCTTCTACAACTTGGTGAATATCAAAAGTCTTTCACCTTTCTACTCCAGATCACCTTGCATAATCTCTTTAACGGCACAATGTAGAAAAGTAAAATAAAAATGGAAGCATTATGTGGGCCAATTTTTAGAAATGTAAGGTATTCAGAGACAGGAACCAACAAGGATCAGACTTCTTACATGAAATTGAGGAAGAGAAAAAAATACGAGGAGAGAAAAATAGTAAAATGTTAATAAGTGATGTTATTACATAGAGCTGGTGAAAACAAACTAGAAACTTAACAGTTGGGCAATTGCAATGCATCTTTACTTCCTAGTTCAGAGATACAATTCACATGTAAGAGTTCTAACAGAGCATTGTCATATTATAGGCATTTTTTCAAATATATCCCGATTGGATTTGGGATACATTTTGAGGACAGCACCAAAAAGATTTACTGGCAACTTAAATGATGAGAGGAGTAAAGGATGAGTAAAATCTTGGCTTTGGAGAAATAATAGCATCACAATGAATTGCCAAGACAGTATATGCATGATTTAAGTAAGGAAATTATATGATATAATAGAAGATTAGAAGTGCTGTCAAGAAACATGATACATAGAAAATGGATAGTACTTTCCAGGTTGGGTAGGGTTGCAGTATTAAATAGACTTACCAAGGAAGGCCTTCCTGACAAAGGGACTTTTAAGAAGAGACTTGCAGGATGTAGGCCAACAAACCATGAGGACATTTGGGAGTAGAAATCTCCAGACAGAAGAAATATCCATTATAAATGTTCCGAGGCATGGGCACAGCAGGAGATGCATTCAGAGTAGTTCTTACAGGGCCTTATAGGTTTATCCTAGGAGAAAAAAGTCAATGGGAATTGTGAGCAGAAAGATATGACCTGACATATTTTGACATGGTCATTCTGGCTGCCCTCTTGTGTATAGAGTGTGGGTGGAAGAGTGGCTACAGGGGAACAGTTAGGAGGCTTGTGCAGGAGCACAGCTGAAAGAATAGTAGCTGTGTTAGGGGTGTAGGAGTAGAGCTAGTTAGAATGATGGCACTCTGGATACATTTTGAGGAGAGCACCAACAAGATTTATTGACACCTTAGATGATGAGAGGAGTAAAGGATGAGTCCAAAGTTTTCGTCTGAGAAAGTGATATTGGAGAATGATATTAACAACATTAACTGACGTTGGAGATAGGGAGGAGCATATTTGGGGTCGGGGAAGATTGTGAGTCCAATTTTGAACACATTAAATTTGCAGTGGCCATTGAGTATTTAAGTGAATATTTTAAGTGGAGAGTGGAAATACAGTTATGGAGGTCGAAAAAGAGGCCTGGATTCAAGACACATATTTCTAGTGCAGGAATATTATTTAAAAATCATTGACTGAATAAAATGAACTGAATGGAATCACCAATGAGTAAGTATAGTTAAAGAAGAGAATGTATCTAAAAACTGAGATCAATAGTTCTCCAATTAAGATATTAGGGCAATCACCAAAAGAGACTGCAAAGAAGTATCTAGGAGGGTAGGAGAAACTCAGAGATGCAAGAAGAAAATGTTTCAATGAACAGAGTCATCTAACATATTCATTGCTACTGAGGGTTCAAGGTGTATAAGGACTGGAAAGTGGATACTGAAATTAGCAATGAGAAGGACCTGGACAAAAGTTGTTTTCATTCAGTGATAAGAGACAAAGCCAGACTGGATTAGATTTAGGAAAAATGGGGAGAGAGTATTTGGACTATTAATATAGACAACTCCTTGGGTGAATTTTGCTATAAAGAGGAGAGAAATAGGATAACAACTGTAGATGGAAATAGGACCAAGAGAGGTTATCTGTGTCTGTGTGAGGGGAGTGGAGTCAGGATGTCCTTTCTCTGATGGGAAGGATCCAGCAGAGAGAGGAAATCCGAGGATGCGAGAGAGATAGGAGAGAACTGTTAAGAAATACAACCGAGTAGGGGAGAGAGGATGAATTCTAGTGTGCAGGTGGAGAGATTACCCTTTGTAGGGTTTATCTGTTCATTGTACTAGCAGTGGAGGCAAAATACATAGACACAGATGCTGGTGGGTGGGTTGATGTCATCTGTTTGTCCTATTTTTTCAGTGAAAGTGGAAGCAAGGCCAAAGTGGAAAATGATGTGGAAGAAGGCAACAGAGTCTTAGAGAAGAGAGAGGAAGTAGTGTGCTAGGATTACATTCACTGCTCCAGGGATTTATTATTACCATGACTCTTGCGTGAGTTGAAGAAGATTTCTTATGTGAACAATTCCATCTGATAAAAGTTATATATCTAATAAAATAAGGATTGCATGTACCAGAACTTAACTTTCATAGGAAAATTAGTTTTATTTCCTCTTATAAGAACACAGGGGGACACATGTGTTTTCCTGGATATAAATACTGGCTGCTGTGCAGTCAGGAGAGGCAAGGTGCAAAGTTTACAATTAACCAGGTGTACTTTGGGGAAGATGGCACCTTTCACCTCCTGTGGGTTTCATGTCATATACTCCAGGCAGCCATTTGCTCTGCCTATTTTGGCTAGTGACCTGCTGTTATCTGCGTTTCCTCTTCTACGATTTGTTGAAAATGCCTATTAATTGGTAACTACCGTCTTCTGATTTTATTTGATATTTTAGAGTAATCTTTCTTTGTTTTCCTATATATTTACTTCAGCGGATTCTAAAGGTACAGAAAGCAAATATGAATGTGTCAACGTATTCTTCTTGAACTGAAAAATGAAATTATTTTTGTTACTTATAAACTATAATGTTGAAATAAATATTATATAAATTTAGATGAGACAACAGTGCTATATCAGAGAAGGCCAATCTGCAGTTTTAAAACTGAAATGAAAGGAGAGGAAAGGTAGCAATTTATGGAAAAACAAAGCTTGAGTATGTGTCTTGAATATGTCTCCAGTTTTTAAAAAAAGCACGATCTAGACAAAATAATTAAGGTATGCATACAGCTTTACATTTGTAATCCATTGTTCCATTTTCTATCTGGACAGTAAGTATGGAAATCTTTAGTAGAGAAGATATTGGCAACATTGCAGAACATAATGTACTTTGGGACATTTCACTCAGCCTTTCATTATAATGATGCTAATCTACTTCGGTTATTTACATCACCCACTTTGCATTATAAAACAGTAATTCAGTGGTTACAATATTCTTATTTTTACTGATGATAAAGAGAAAGCCATGCAAGTGACAGCTTTTGGGTGTAATAACTTGCATAGGCTCTGTAATTGATGAGTCTCTTATGAGAAGGGTCTGTTTTCACAGTATTCATTATACACATCATCAAATTTGCACAGCTAACACCAGGATGATGTACAGATCAGCATGCACAGATTATTCTACTCATGCCCCTGCATGTGAAGCAGAAACTAAATTTGTGGTTGCAGCTCTTTTACCCAGTAATTCTCTGACCTTCCAGAAACTACTTAAAGTGTCTGAGCCTCAGGATTTTGGTATGAATTATTAGGATAATAGTATCAGCCCTGCCTGTTTCACAGAGTAGATGACTGGCTTAAGTATTTTAACAGATGTGGAAAACTCATATTTGCTATTGCTATTCTTACTCCTCCCTGTAGTATTTAGATGATATTTAGTTTTCTTTGTGTCTTTCCCTTCCTCCCATCTTCCTATATTTATAGATATTTTTGCATGGTAACAACCTGAACAGTCTACACCAACTAATTCATCCTGAGATCCTGCCCTCTGAGTTTGGAGGAATGCTGCCTCCTTATGACATGGGGACATGGGCAAGAACGCTGCTAGACCATGAGTATGACGATGACAGCGAATACAATGTAGACTCCTACAGCATGCCTGTGAAGGAAGTAGACAAGGAACTCTCCCCCAAGTCCATGAAGAGGTATGCTGGAGGTAGCCTGGGAGTGGGCTGGGGCCAGGGCAGGGAGAGGCATCCTGAGTCAACCTCTAAGCTTTCTAGTTTTTTTGTATATATTTTTCTAGTGTGATTTTTAAACTCTGTATGCCTGATGATTGGATGTCTAGGAGTTCTGAGTCAAAGATAAAGCCCTTCCCTTATTGTGAAAACATTTAAAAGTTATTCTCTTAGCAGTTTTCAAATATATAATACATTATTATTATATATTTGTATTTATATATTATATATTTGTATTATATATTATATATTTACTATTATTATATAGTAACCCTGCTGTATGATAGATTTCCCAAACTTATTCTTCCTAATTAAAACTTTGTACTTTTTGACTAATATCTACCCATCTACCCCCAACCCACCCTGCCTCATCCCTGTGCTTGGTAACCACCATTCTACTCTCTACTTTTATGAGTTTGACATTTTTAGATTCCACATAGTAGTGAAATCATGCAGTATTTTCCCATCATATTGTATTCCATAAATATATGCCATTATTTGTCAGTTAAGAAAAAAATAAAGTAATTCGAGATAACCTAAACTTAGTGTTGTTCCCAATTCACAGACAATCTAGCAGGGTCCTTGAAAGTGACTGAATCTGGTGGTTTTCAGATTGTATCCTGAGAAACCAAGGGTTTTGATGGAGTGCCTCAGGCCAAGTAGGTAGAGTAGAGAGAGGGCCCATTTCCACTGCAGTGAGAGCAAATTTCCTATCTAAGCAATTTATTGGAATTCTGTATAAGATTTCGTTTGAAGAAAGTAATGATGCACACAAACATCAGTTCAAACACTGTATTTCATAAAGTTTGCTGTCCTTTTTCAATATCTCTGCCAAGTCTTTGTCTAAAGATCTAAACATTAGTGGTACAAAACATTGTGTTTCCCTTCAGTTTTAATTTTTGTAAATTTCATTGTTGAGTCAGAGTCCAAATACCTGCTTTAACTCTCACAGCACTTTTATGCCTTTTTTCTTTCAATCAGTAATCTGGGGAGTTGTCAGCATGCACAAATGCATCCCTGGCTCTGAGTTTGCATTCCATTGCAAACAAGTAGATGTGTAATTCTCAGACTTCCCAGGCAACAACAGCTCGGGGTCCATTTGGATAACAGTAACAAATGTTACTTCTCCATTTCATTTCACATTCACAGAAATATGGGCACCACAGCCCCTGCAAGTGTCTCCACACCTAGCTTAGGGAAGATGCAAGGACGTTGAATAGGTCATGCCAATGTCTGGCATCCTTCTCTGATGAAAGCCTTAAGGTCCTATCCTCATAACTCTGACTCATGGAGTAATGTGGCTGTTCTTTAAGGATGCTCTGTTTTATGCTGCTGCCTCTGTGGTGATTGTTGCTAGTATGTGTTTGTGATCATTTCCTCTCTCCAGGCTGATACACAAGTCCTTGGAGAGAATGGAAAGGCCAGACACTTTCCTTGCTCGGATTTCCCACTAGTTAGTAAGTTTATATTTATTTATTTTTTTGAGACAGAGTCTCACTCTGTCACCAGGCAGCAAGCTGGATTGCAGTGGCACAATCTCGGCTCACTGCAATCTCTGCCTCCCGGGTTCAAGCAATTCTCCTGCCTCAGCCTCCCGAGTAGCTGAGACTACAGGAGCATGCCACCACACCCAGCTAATTTTCATATTTTTAGTAGAGACGGGGTTTCACCATGTTGGCAAGGATGGTCTTGATCTCTTGATCTCGTGATCCGCCCACCTCGGCCTCCCAAAGTGCTAGGATTACAGGCTTGAGCCACCGCGCCTGGCCGCAAGTTTATATTTAAACCAGCTTTAGGCTTCTTAACTACCTTCTTTTAGAACAGAAATTTTTGAGATCCCTTCTCTCCTAAGGGGTTCACGGATGGGCTCTCAAAGGATTCTGTTAAGTGCTAAAAGCTGTATGCAAAATTTTGTGTGCATAAGTATGAATGTATATATATGTTGTGCATTTATTTTCTGGGGAGAAGGCATATATTTCATCAAATTCTTTAAAAGTTTTTAAAAGCAAAAGTGGTTAAAAGCAACTTCCCTTAAAAGTAGTTTTCTTCTAATAAAATAATAATCCTAATGAAAATAGTTGTTACTATCTATCATTTACTAGGAACTCATCGTGAGTTAGGTCCTTACTAGGCGCCTTGTTTTACATTAATTATTGAATCCTCACAGCAACCCTGTTAAACAGATATTGAATCCTCGAGGTTAGCTAGTCTATATGTAGCAGAGCAGGTCTCCAGTGCATGAGGTGTGGAGTCCTTCACATCACTGACACAAAGCTCATGGTGGCACAGAGCCCCTCTCTCAGGAACTAAACTACATAAGGGTTTGGAGGTAGCTGTCATTGGTGTCCACTAGTGTTCTTCTTTGTCAGCTAATGAGGCCCTTTTCCTTCAGCCATTCTGCCTGAGGCATGATTGCTCATGTGGCCCCATCATGTAAGCACATTTTTCTCTGTAACTTCTACACATCACCTGCACTTTGCTCAGCTGCACCCACCCCCTAAAAATTTTAACTGCTTATTAATTCCAGCCTTACCTGCTCCCCTATCCCCAATTAATTATCCACATGGCAATTCAAAAATCTTCTAAAAATATAAATTAGATATTTCACATCTTGGCTTTATTTTATTTTTTTGAGGCAGGTTCTCACTTTGTTGCCCAGGCTGGAGTGCAGTGGGGTGATCATATCTCACTGAAGCCTCAACCTCCCCAGGCTCAAGCACTGCTCCCACCTCAGTCCCCCAAGTAGATGGGACTATAAGTGCCTGTCACCATGCCCGGCTAATACTTAAGGTTTCTTTCCTGGAGACCAGGTCTCACTATGTTGCGCAGACTGGCGTCAAACTCCTGACCTCAAGTGATACACCTGCCTTGGCCTCTCAAAGCCGAGGGATTACAGGTGTGAGCCACTGTGCAGGCCTTGGCTTTATATTTTTAATGACCACTATTTATGCAATAAATAGAATCACCTCCTTATCATGGCTTAAAAGGTGCTACCTTGTCTGACCCTGCCTCCCTCTCTCCTACAGGTATATTCCATTTTCTTCCTCTTCCCCTGCTTTTCAGACACAACAGTCTCTTTGTCCCCTTGTCACCACCACCTGGAATGCTCTTTTCCTTCATCTTCAAATGGCTAGTCCCAATCAAAGGTCAGCTTCTCAAGAGAAAGTCTTTTCATCTTTGTCACCCACCTGGTCTTAGTCAGTTCTGCTTTCTCCTCATTCTGGTCACTCCCTGTCCAACACCCTTCTTTATTTTATTCTCTTCATAGCGCTTTTAGTCTGTGAAATAGCTGATTTTATTTAATTTTATATCCGATCCCTATCCCAAAGTAAGCTTCAGGGAGACCATATTGACTGTGTTTACCCTGTTCTCTGAATCTCCAGTGCCTGGAGAAGGTCCTGGAACAACAGAGGGTGCTCAGCAATTACTAGTTGAATGCATGGAAGAGTGTGCTCTGCAGTCCATCAGTAGTCCCCTTTAAGTGCAGTATTCATAACTGAATAGGAGACATCAGACACGGTGTCAGTACTTGCCTTTACGTTGCAGAGTTCTGGCTTTGCAGGATAGACCTCAGCGGCTTCTTTGGGTTCCTATTGTTGTCACTGTTGCTATTGTTCAGGCAGCCAAAGCTGACTCATATGGGGCTTCCTAAAACTGGAAAGTCTCTTTACTTATCAATTCATGTCCTCCTATAGTTTAGCTTTGTCCTCTGTTCACATTATTTTAATTGAGTAAGGCCTGTCTTGGTAGATTTAGCCCAGTCTATCCACTGTTTGTATACTGATTCTCTTCCCCAGTTAATTAGGCCATTTCCCACCCTGAACACTTTGCTTATAGCCCATTAACGGCCACAATCCTGAGTTTCTTGCTTGTGTCATGGGCTGATTAGAATTTTAGGCATTGTTTGGTATATGTTTGGTATCGTATGAAATATTTATGATTCTATTGGAAAACTCCTGAAGAATGAGACTAAGAAAGATGTTGCACTTGATTCTTGTGTTCTGATTGTCAGCGAATGGCAGTTCACCATTGAGGAGAAGAGAAGATTGCTCCTGTGTTCCACACTGATTTGCCTTGGCCTTTCTCCTTTTTGTACTTTTATGTTATCTTTAGATTAAGAGGAAGAAAATCATTCCATCATTAAAATGTTGTCGATAATTCTTCTTTTGAATAGATGTAGCTAGATGTCTAAGAAGATGACTTTGTCTTTTGGCATAAATTTATGGAGGAACGGCATAGTTGTGTGTAAAGATACAAAATTCACCTGACTGAGTATTTTAGAATTGGAGAATGTCTTTTATCTTATGTTGTCAATGCCTATGATAGTACCTGGCATAAAACAGTAGTGAGTAACAGTACTTATTTTCATGACATGCACTTCTGATTACTGAATATCGAATAATGTTAAGCATTTATTGTTACTCTATGCCAAACCCCGTTCCAATGCTCTGTATATGTTGACTCATTTGCTTCTTAAAGCTACTAATAAAGTAGTAGTATCCACATTTTATTGATAGAGAGACTGAGAAACAGGAAAGATAAGTGACATAACTACAAAGTAGTGATGTTAATATCTGTATATAGGCAATAGTAATTCAGAGCCATTTTCTTAACCATATGCCAGAATTTGTGCCAGAGTTTATAGATCCATTATTGCCTCTGATCCTCACTGTAACTGTATGATGTGGGTGTTATTTTCCCCATTTTACAAAAATTGAGAACAAAATTTTAGGGAGTTTAGTCTTTCCATGATCATATTATTAGCAACTGCAGTTACGATCCACTTCTGTCCAATATCTAGTTCGTAAACACTATGTATTGTAGATGCATGAGAAAGGAGTATTGGATACCTAAATCTAAATTACTGGTTTTCAAGAAAAAAAGAAAAGTTATTCATTGTGAAAACAATAGAAGCTGTGCAGAAACCCCCTGAGATGGGCTGGGCATGGTGGCCCATGCCTGTAATCCCAGCATTTTGGGAGGCTGAGAAGGATGGATCATTTGAGGTCAGGAGTTTGACACCAGCCTTGCCAACATGGTGAAAAATCACCTCTCCTAAATATACAAAAATTAGCCAGTCATGGTGGTGCATGCTTGTAATCCCAGCTACTTGGGGGAGGCCAAGGTGGGAGGATCACTTGAAGGAGGCAGAGGTTGCAGTGAGCTGAGATGGCTCCACTTCACTCCAGCCTGGATGACATAGTGAGCCTTTGGCTCAAGCAAAACCAAACCAAAACAAACAAAAAACCCCAGAAACCTCTGAGATGTATGAGTTAATGACAGACATCTCCCTCCACTGTGGCTGGAATAAATAAATTCATTATCACTTCTGATTCTGCACAAATAATCCTGTTCTGTCATAAAAGAGAGTAAAAAAAGTTGGACTAAATAACTATACACTTGGGACAACTAAATACCAAAAAGAAAAAAAATTAATTACAAATTGTTTCTGACTCACTTTTGTTCTGTGATTGAGGAATTGTTCCACATATGGAACTAGCATTCATCATCCAACAATTTTCATATCTGTAGTGCATGATAAAAGCAAACTGGAAACTTAATCTTAGGTTGAACAGTATACTGTACTTTAAAATATTTTGTTACAAATGTCACATTCTCTAATATATTTTCAAAAACAGTCCTGAAACACACAGACTTAGAATGTGTATATGTGTGCATGTCTGTATAATGTATAAGAGAATATTATGGCAAATGCTTTAATTTTGTGCCTTGTACTGGCTGAAGAGCATTGGTATATACTTATGGAATATTATTAGGATATATCTTAACAATTTATATAATAGATTTAACTTTATGAAATTTTAAAAATTTATTTTCTATAAAGAAAATAGAATTGCTTTCTCTATTATCCTCATTACTCTTCATTTTGAGTGCTTCATACCAAAGTTCTTCCAATATGGAAATTGTTTACTGGCTAGAAGTCAAGACATGAAAATCTTACTCTTTTTGAGGCCCTATGATGCACATTGTATTCACAATAAGAAAAGAAACTGACAAAGTCCCTGCTTATGGAACTTCCCGTCTAGTGCATATCAGTTGTCAAATTAATACTTTAGCACAGGACATTAAATGAGCCTCTTTCTCTTTTAACATGAATTCATCTGACAGCCAATTTGCTTAGTTGGGTCTTACCTAAAAACAAAGTTAAAAGTCTAATTACTTAGTGTTTTGTGCACTAAGTATTTTATTTGCTTTAAATAAAGATGGTAGTTTAAAGTAGTTTAAATGAAGATGGTTATGTATTATTGCATAATAATATGTCACAAAATCTCTCTTCTCTGTTCTTTCTCCTGGTTGCCTTCTTTTCCTCATCCTATTCTGTCTCTCCTATACACACACACACACACACACAACTTTAGTCAGGCTTTTTTCTGTGATAGGCATCTAATACCCATTTAATATTGAGATAAAATAGTGTAAATGACACTTAGGGAACAAAAATCTCTCAATATTTTGATGCTTTCACCTTTATTTTCATTCCATCTTTGGAAAAGAATTTAAGTTTACTTAAATTGAGTCAGTTTATCAGTTAATTCTGTAATTATTTTTACTTTGATAATTAGTTCCGTTGCTGTTCTTTTTCATTTGCATGTGCAGTTGTGTTTTAGCTTATAGTCTTTTCAGAAGTTAATGAGATCTGCTAAGAGGCATATTGTCACAGCAAAAGCCAATTGGCTGGAATGCAGCAGCAGGGGAAGAATTCATTACCAAGGAGAATTCTGAAAGGGCAGCTGCTTCCTAAATGCTATAGCTATTAAGATGGCAGCTTCCTGCTATGACAGGAGCATGTTTCATTGATTTTCCTCTTTCCAACTCTCCTGTGGTTTCCTAATGATAAATGGAGATATAATCCCCACCTGCTATCAAAGTCATGTATAAGTGGGCTTTCAAATTATGTGCTTTCCCAATCATAACGTATCGTTGCCTAAACAAGAGGGGTTTTTACTTTTTAAAATTCTATAACTGTTCCATGAAACTTTCAAGATTAAGGTTGATTTTATTTGGATATTCTACTAGGATATTTAATAAAACCATTCAAATTTTGATCTTTTTGTTGATACAATCATTCAAGCTAAAAATGACGGTCCGAAAAAAAAGGTGCATTTTTGTTGCATTTTTTAAAGACTGGAATTAAGCCTCCTGTTATTTCTTTTTAATTTATCATAATAATCATTTCACTGTAATTTTTTTCATTTGGAGATGTTTTATTGGAAAACATCTATCCTACACTAGAAATTTTTGATATCTCAAAGAAAAGAATCTTGCTCAACTATGAAGCGCTCTTAAGCCTAGTATTTTCTATTCAGAAGCATTGGCGACTCACTATTCTAGTTAGAGGCCAGAGAAGATTGTTTCCTTACTCCAGTGCAAAACATCACCAGCAGTGGTTTCTCTCTAAATGTGCTACATCCACAGTTCATAAATTCCTTGATACAGAGGAAGGGAATCCACATTCTTGGAAGAAGTAATGACAAAAAGACAGAGGAGGGAATGTCATCTGTGCAATTATCTGGTAATAACTCACTGATGTTGTTGGCTTTATCCTTTCCAGATCCCAATCAGTAGTGGATCCTACAGTACTAAAACGCATGGATAAAAATGAGGAAGAAAACATGCAGCCTTTGCTTTCTCTGGACTAATAACTACTCTACATCCCCTTCATGGATTAGAAATTGAAAGTATTGGTTTTCAGCAACAGGGACAGCACTGTGGAGGAATTACCAGCTGGAAACTGACTTATTCATGTTAATGTAGCATAATGTATAATAAGGCATCAGGCTTTCCTTGGCCTGAACCATGGGGGCCCTGAGCTGGATTTTTAAAATGTCAATAATTTATTCTGTAAGTGCCAAGTTCTTTGTAAATATAATGTAATCTTCATGTCAAGTTTGTACATTTCAGTATTAACTCAGTTTGGAAAACGGTTGGCTCAAAACTCCATGCCAGTGATACGAACTATAACAAAAAGTAGAAAAGACACAATCAAAGCGAATTAAATGTAGCCCTCTTTCCTATGAAGCCATATTTCAGCTATCATAGTGATCGTTTCATTGTTTTTCTCTGAAACTCTGTCAGTATTCAAACATACTTTTAATGGGCACACACAACTAAATGATTCTAGGAAATTTCATGATTAATGTATTTCCTGTCTAGTGATTTTCATTTCAGAGAAATGTGTCTTAGTAACTATCATTGGACTTGCATTTTGGAGGCAAGGAATGGCAGATGAGCTGGTAAACTGAACACTTGAACTCTTCTATGTTGTTTAATTCCTGGAATCTTGTGAAAAGATGTGTTTCCTCAGTTAAGACGTAGAATTGTAAGAGAGTGGACTCTTTTTAAATTGCTGTCTTCACGATGTGCCCTTTATTCAAGACCCCATTTTCTCTCTAATGTACTCTAAGTACATTTCTTCCCCCAAAGCTCTTTGGCCAAGAGAATGAGAAATTATATGTGAATAGTGTTTTGACAGATAATTTTGAACATAAAATTTTTGGCTTCATAAGGGGCTCATTTCTAATTGTTGTGCACTGGTTAAAACATATATATATTCACATATATATTTTTACTGAGCTCTAATAAATCCTTGATGTAACAGGATTATAAAATAAATTATAGATATTCAGTGATCTTCAAGATGTTATAGATAATTATGTGACATAACTGGAAAACTATTCCACTGAAGTTAATGAAAATGAGAAATAGTGAAACTGACTTTCAGTGTACCTATTTAAGGGAATTCCAATTTAATATATAATGCAATCTTAAATATGTGCCATCTTATTTGAACTATATTTTTCCTTCAAAGAAACAACAGATTTCAACATAGTGTAGGGTAGCATCAGGTGACAGCCAATTTTATTTTTCAAATTTAAGTTAATTATCTTTGTGATCCTATTTGTCCACAATTTTTTTCAGAAAAGGCTGAAAAAACACATTTAGTCAGAAGATATAATGAAATCATCTGAAGGCATCTAAGACAGCATGCAATAGTTTATACATGGATTTAGAAATTTGCATATTTAATGCCTTATTTCATAAAATTCACAATTACAGCAAATTTTACAAAATTTTATTTTAAATTTCAATGTGAAAAAATGATTTTTATCACCCATAATAAATTTTGGGATTCAGTGTTTATCCTAAAATATTCTTTTGGAAGAAAAATATCTCCAGAAACTCTTGGAAACCAACAAAAATAAAGGCATGTGGCAGCCTTCACACTTTTGAGCCAAAACCTTCCAAAATTTGTTAGAATTCTATAGCCCAAAATTGTAAAAGCAAGCTAAGTACATCAGTGTACAGAGTATCAATGGACGGCCTCCAGTGTGTAAAAGTACGTTAATTAACACAAATGAAAGACCTTAATAATGCCAACCTCCAGTCATGTGCAGAAGAATAATGAGTGTCAGTTACCCTGTTCTCCTTGTTACTTTTACAGAGATTGGAAAGCACTGGGGACATGTCTGAGCAGTTCTTACCTTTGTGAGAATTCTAACCATTGATATTCTTATATTCTTGTCTACCTGACATACATTTTGTAGCCGAGGGCTTTATAGATTATATAAACCTTATGCAGTACAATCCATTGGAATAAAATAGAAGCATTGTAAGTGCAGAGGGCAGAAAACATTTTATTCTCATGAATTTCTCTTGATGTGTACAATTTATTGCCAGTTTTTAGAATTCTGCCAGTTTCAGATGTCAACCAGCATTGGCAGCTTCTTTCCCCTATCGTAAAGTTAGTGTCATATATAAAAATAACTAGAAAGGCATATTTTATATGTATGCCTATCTAATTATAAGTATCATTCACACTGTCTCCCGGACCCACATTTGGAAAGTTTGCATTGCATTACTGCTCATCTTTAAATGAGCAATTGAGAGTTGGCTAGATTGTGTAAAATATTTTAAAATGAATGAACAAATGACAATGATGATGTGTTTTGAAATTACCATATATAGTTCACTCTGTGACTAAACTCATTTTCTAGTAATGCTTGTGAACCTCAGTCAAGGGATATTCATTCAACTTTATAAATTTACCCCTCAGCACCAGGTATCTAGCACTGTTTAGGACTTTTTCCCTTCATGATATTCTGTGTCACATAGCTATGTCTATTGTTGTATAATCTATACCCTATAGTTGTATACCTATAAGCACGCCTATATTCTTTTATTTTAATTGCAATAGTATACCTCCACTTACTGCCCCCTCTCTCACACACACTCTCTTACACACTCACGAACACACTAGACTGTTTTCTCTAATTAATTTGCATCTGTACTTTGAGAGGGATTTTAGTTGCCTTGTCACTTGAAATCTGTGGGCTTCAAAGAATTACCACATTTGACTTGGAATAGGCCGGTAGTCCATTTTTCTTTCCCCCTGCCTGTTCCATCTTCTATTTCTGGTATCTTTTTTTTCTTCCAGTTATTTCAGGGGCAGCTTCTTCCAAAGCTGGTTTAAAAATAAATAACATCTCTTACCATGTTGTCAGTGACATTTGCCTGCATTTTTGACTATTATTTAAGAAGGAAGAGATTATCATGAAAATATACTCTAAGAAATATGAAGAAGTGCCTCTTTGAAAATGGAATAAAGCAGTGATACTGGCATATGGATTTTATTTGGTACTCTCTTCCAAAAAGTAAATACATAAATCTATATTATAAAGTTGAAATATTTGAAGGATATTTGAGGCCTTTGTTTGAGTATTCTCATACAGTATTAGGTCTCTGTTGTGTAAGTAAAATACACTTTAACCCTTGTTAATGATAAACCTGGCACTATGCTAAAACAATATACAAGTATTAAACAGTTTTGCAAGCAAGTTTTTGAAGTGGGCATGCATGATTTCTTTTATTTCAGTAATGGTTTGCATAAGTGTAAGCAGAGATATTTCCTAAGTTTTTCATATAGAATGCTTATTTACTTTATAGTACCAATAATTCATACATTCATAAGCAGGAAAGCCAAAAATTTATACATTCATACCTAGCTTCTTTTAATAGTGTTAACTAGGTCATATTGTTAAATGAGAAGTTTCTGTGATATTCTTGAGGGAACAGAAGTCCTATTGCATCAAGAAATTGGAGAGTTGTTTTAGATATTGGGGAATATATTTATGACTCTTCACAAAAAGAGCCATAGGGTATGTCTTCAGGGACAGGCTTCCTTTGCTTCTATAATGTAAAGGTTTATGGACACGTCTGTTGTCCTTTAAAGAAGTTACATTAAGAAAGCTTTCTGAGAGACTGTACACTCTTCTGTTGTTTTATTTAAAGGTCTGCCTTGTGTGGTTGGTGTATAATATCTCAGCTTCTTTGTGTATATTCATTAATGATTACATGAAAAGTTGCCATCAGCCATGAGGACACTTCAGAAAGATTTTCAGCACACAAAATAAAATGAGCAGAGCTCTAGCATGATATTTGAACTTTGAGATATGGTATATGTACATTTTTTACAACAATAAGCTCATAGGATATATTCCATTTTAGATCTGCTATATAAATACATAGCCTGAAACATAGTAATGTGTTTGAAATTTGTGAGGTCACTGATCATACAAGAAGAGGCAGATTATAAACCAATGTATTGAAACAAAAGAAGATTGGTTAAATATGCAAGGTGTATAATTATCTTCAGTAATGAAAAGGGTTTGTTTTCTTGTTTTTGGTCTTTTGTTTTAGTTGAAAAAAAATAGCTTCTCATATGCTACTGAAATTATTTGACATTATTTACTACATGAAAGGGACAAATAAGTAAAAATACAAAAGAAGTTTGGCTTTGTAACATTATTATATTATGATGTTAATGGCTTAGAGGACATAGTCATATAATTTAATTTTTTAAGAATTAAAGTTTTTATTTTATAAATATTTAGAGGCTAACCTCAGACATGAAAATAGTGGTGTGGATTCTATTATGTACTAAATATGGGAATGAATTCCCTGGGACTATAGAAAAAAATATGAAATAACAACTTTGTGGATTGAAACACTCAAGTTAGACCTTTTTCAAAGAAGGAGGAGTGCAATTGATGCTATTAAAATAAAATTTTAGAAATCAATTAATTATAAGACTTAAATATAATCAATACAGCCATGGTAAATAGTGGAAATTGTTAAAATTTAGAAGTTGTTTTGTCAGTGTTTGACTTAGTTTCAAGTCTCAAGGCAAATATTTCTGTCCTTGATAATATGAGTGCATTTATTCTATAAGATTTGTTTTTTCCCAGTGAATGAGATGGCCCTAGGTGAAAATCAAAATAAATTTTAACAACAGCTTTAAGAGTCAGCCAATCCTCAACTACTTAAAAAAATGGCAATGAACTTTAATTCATTTATATTTAACAGAGATTCAAATCATTGTCTTGTTTCTAATCCAATTTTTCAGATTTTTGCATTTGCTTAAATGATAAATAAAACTCAGAAAACCAAATAGCTTTTGTTTTCAAAGCTATTCAGGAAAAATAAAAGATGTCTAGAGGAAAAATACAAGTCCTTGAAGAATACTGAGCACATTATTTGCTATTTTGCTCCAATGTTATTAATTTTTACTACTACATACTATTTGTTTAGTACTACACAAAATTTGGCATTTTGAAGGAGTCATAATTTCCAATACAGTATAATATAATTTTTGGATAGGTATACATTTCTGTTTAAGAGAAATGTATACTTTAATTTTGTATATTTTATATTTTAAATGTATACATTTATTTTGCATATGGTTGATGTTGAATTTGGTAGTCCCAGATCTGCTTCATCTATAAAATGGAGATGTCTTTAAAAAGTTGTCTAAAAATTAACTATATTTTTATTTTGAGAGAACTTGTGCTTAGCTATTTAAGTTAGGATTCCTCAGATTTTGTGATATTTGTATGTGTGGGGATCAAAGAGGAAAATATATAGTAGTTGTTTAATCAAAATGACATTCAGTATTCTATAACTTCTAGTCAAACTTTCAAAGGAAAGTTGGAAAGAAGTAAGCTAACATTATAATTACATATAGCAATGGAATGATCAGTAAATAAAATAACTAGTGTTTTTATGTTTACACATAAAATGGATTAGACAAGAGATTAAATTTAGAAATTTGAATTACAGGAAAGCATTGGTTTAAATAGGTCCTCAAAAAAGTAATCCCAGGTCAAAATATGTTGTGAAATTAAAAAAAAATTCAGCCTGATTTGAGAAAGAATGCTTACTCACTAAATATACATTTGTGTCTTCAGTAAGTTTTTTTCACTTACCTATCTGTGGATGAAAAGTTATCTAATTAGGTAAAAGAGACTCAATTACATTTGCCTAGAACCATCTATAAGTAGACTTCATGAATTTCGTTGGCCCAAACTCAGAGGATTTTCTTTACACAGGATCCTTGAGGTGATCCAGAATCATTATTGGTGCTCCCTCCTAAAGGCAGGCCAGGAGAACCATGATTCCACAGTGGGAATGAACCCAGGCAACGAAAAAACACAGGAAAAGCCATTGTTTTCACTCTGGTTGCCAAAAAGTGTGTTCCTTCTTCAGGAGGACCGAGGAGAAAATATTTTAATTATAAGCAGAAAGCTATTTCAAAATGTCAAGAGTTTCTAATATCAACAGTTAAATACTTAAGTGAAAAGGGGTCATGGGGAAGTGATGGTCAAATCTCTGTTGTGAAGCGAGTTTCCACACAGCAACGTCATCAAAAACTCGTGCCTCTGAGGATTACTTGTTTCTCTGAAAATAAAATTAAATATGCTGTTTTGTTCCCTTTTTTTTCCCTAATTGGTATCACAAAAATATCAGGCAGAAGCCACAAATACTTTGTTGTCATTTAAGAAAAAAATGCTATATTATACATATATGAACATAATTCACTTAGTTGCATATGATTGAAATATTTGCATGCTTGTTTATAAATTATTACCTAAAAGTTTTATGAAATATAATTATAAAGTTTTAGTGCTAGAAAATTGTGTTCTTTGTGTCTTGGATTCATGGGAAGACTGGTAATATCCCTTACTCCTCATTCATATAGCTAACAATTTTAATTGGATGGCTAATGGATATGTGAATTTAACATTTATAAAACCAAGCTTTGCCTTCACTCTGACCCTGCTTCCCCTTTAGCCTTCTCATCTCACTCTGTGTCAACCCCAATCTTCCAGTTTCTAGGAATAAAAAATTTGAAGTCATCCTCTCTTTCCCTCCACTTTTTCTCTCAAAACTACATCTAATCAGCTAGCTCATGCTGTTGACTCTTTAAAATATATCCACACTCTAATCACTTCTCTAATCTTCATCATCACTGTATTAGCCCAAGTCTTCAACATTTTAAATCTGGAATATTTTAATAATCTAAAAAATCATCTCCTCTTTTCTAGAGTCAATTTTCAACACATTAGCAAGAGTGAGTCTCTTAAAATGTAGCTCAGATCATTTTGTTCTCAAAATCCTTTGAAAGAGTAAAAGCCAATGTCTTTACAACAGGGTATGAGAAGTGTTGATATGAAGGCAGTAAGCACCAGTATAGCAGCATACCATGGTTTCTGATTGGCCTGGCATTTTTGCCAATATTATGCAAAAATAGTTGTTAAATACTTTAATTTTTTGCTTTTGAAGTTCTCTACCCCATTCTTGACTTTTCTTAGATAATCTCTTAAGTATCTCTCCTTTATCTGCTGCTGCCAAACTGTCGTCTTTGCTGTTTCAGCAACTTGCCAAGCATGCCTCTACCTCAGGACTTTGGCATTTTGGTTTCCTTTGCCTCTTTCTTTCAGATATTCTCATGGTTTATTCTCTCATCTCCTTCAGGTCTTTGCTCAAATGTCATCTTTATGAGGACTCTCTTTCCCAATTTTAGATGAAACAGCCCGTGGTTCTTCACATTCTCCTTTTCTGCTGTATTTCCTCTCCATAGCATTTATCGCCTGATACACCACACAGCTTATTTATTTACTTTATATTTTCCCCCAATAGCAATGTGAACTCCACAGGGGCAGGGATTTCTGTCTGTCTGTTCACTATTGCATTACTGGTGCCTTGAACAGTGCCTGGGACTTAGCAAATCCAAAATGATTTCATGAAGGTCCTAATTTGTTTCAGCAAGATACATAACACCCAGTATAGTATGCATTGAAGGAGAGTTTCTTGTTTTCTTATTTAAAAAAAATCTCGTTATTTATCTTCCTCTCATGATGATGGAATCATGAATCAAAAATAATATCCTCCTCTTCTCAATTGTGGTCTCTATCCCTGAGCCTAAGTTTTATATCAGTGTTTCAGTTTTGTCTTCAGAAGTTACTCCAGGGTCACTGGAGCCTATATGTATCCACATGGCTTACTCTTGGAGAGACTACAAGATAGCTCAGGTGAAAAGTCATTTTGAGATTAAAACTATAGGGAATTGTTCTTTATTCATTATCATAGTTAATTTCAGTTTTTAAAAAATTGCAGGGAGTTAAAATGACCATTATTCCAGTATTGGAAGCCAGTTTAAGAGAATATGACTATGTAGTTACTTTTAATGGAAAAGAGAAGAGGAGGAGGAAAAAGGAAAGAAATCATGTTCATACCTTCTCTGCAACAATTATAAAATGAATGAGGAAGTATTTTGGTGTTTGTAAGGTCTTTATAGGATCTTGATATCTATATATTATAGTCACTTAGTCTGTGAACACTTTTAACAATTGGGTTTCATGTTACGTATCTTTAAATTTTTATGATGAAAATTTATAGCTGTGACACAAGATAATAGAAATTGCTCATGCTCACATATATTTGAACTGCCTTTTCAACTTGCTCCCTTCTCTTTACTTTAATTCTAGCTATCATTTTTAGAGCCTTACAGCCACAATTCTTTTTAACTATCACCAATTTTTATTTCCTATTTGGACTGACTTCTCCATAATTTTAGTAACTAAATGTCCTAGATATTGGTTCTTGGTGTGATAGGTATCTGATTTTTATCCTTTGCAGTTTAACTTTTAATCCTTGCCAAACACATGTTATTCCTTTTCCTTGGCTATATTGTTGTGCCTTTCCCAATGCTGTAATAATTTAAGCCTCCTGTTTTATAATCTCCTACCAGAACCTCTATTAAGAAGACATCGAATTTAAAGGATTAGCAGGTGATGTTGAAGAAGAACTATAACCTGAAGAATAAGGACAGATGTTTGAAAATGTGTCAGAAGTTATCCAGTTTTTTAGTGGCTTTGTGATGGGTAGGGATTTTGTTCCACTTTGTGTACTGTGTATGACATTGCTGAGCAATATAGATCATGTTTCTTGTCAGTCACACAAGGATATGGTAATCAGGGTTAACAGTTTGGAAAACATTCTCTAGAGAAGAGACTAATGATTCTTGCTCACGAACAAGGGAGAATTTCCCTACATTTCTTAATATTTGATCCTTGATAGTCTGTACAGTGAAACCACTTCCCTCTGTGAC